GCATACTTATACCTGCCTCTGGAAATTTCCACTACATGCATCCGACGAAATGGGTATTCACCCACGAAAGCTCATGCTCCAATACGTCTGTTAGTCTATAAGGTGCCACAGGACTCTTTGCTGCTTTTACAGATCCAGACTAACACAGCTACCCCTCTGATCCTTGACACCCTTAAGTATGTGCCTAACTGGAGTAGACCCACTGAAGTCAAAGGATCCATTGAGTTCAATCATCTTTTCATTAGATTTCAGTAATATTATGCCATTTACATTTACACTAGCTGAGAATCTGGCCCAATCAGTCTACATTAAGTACATTCAAGTGCCATTAAAAAAAATCCCTTGTCTGTGGTTTCCTCATATATATCCATCAACTTCAGATGCCTCACGTTGGAATAAAGTCCCTTAATGTAGGTGATTTTACTTGTTAATTAGAACTTTGGATCTCACTTATAGTCATGGCAACTAGACATTGTCCGTTTAATTTTAAAATTTAATCCTAAATCTCTTGAGCCCGCCCACTGGACAACTCAATAACACCCATCAACGCCCCATGTTGGGCCTGATCTAAATCTCACTGAAGTCAATGGAAATCTTTCCATCAACTGCAGTGGACTTCATATCATGCACTTTATGTGCAGAGAAATCCCTCCAGTCATTGATAATAACTAATAAATAAAATAAATTAAACCTGTTCATTGAAAATGGCCAATCTCAGGCTGTGGAACACTGTCAGCAGGAGCAAACTTCATTAGCAGGAGCCCTCAACTACAGAGGCTGAACAGCAGAGCCTACAGTACAAACACTGGCAGCAGGAGCATCTCAGCTTTAATGCTGAGATGTGAGGGAGAAGTGGTGTGAGAGATAAATAAGTTCAAGGTCTCTGGGGCCTGATCCAGCTCCCACTGAAGTTAGCATGAGTCTTTCATTGACTTTGGGAATTGGATAGGGTCCTTAAAGACTGGAAATAACACTTTGGTTATCATTCGGAACTGAATTTATAGGCAGAGCTCAGAGCACAAGTCTTCAGACCTTATGCGTGAAATTTGCCTATGTGTGGAGTGACAGCAAAAGACCCTAAGCACCACTTAAATCCCACTTATGTCCCATTTAAGCCCCACTCTAAAGACATGTTACAGGAGGTCTTGTTTTGGCCCTCTCCATAAGGTTGAATTTCATCCTTGTAGTAGCAACATACTCCACTCAAGAAGCAGGCAGCCAGTGGGAGGCTCCTGGAGGGCAGCAATCAAACTTGGAGGTGGCAAACACATGTTACATGTTAATGTCTTTATATAAGATGAGCCTGGAAAATAATCATACCCTTCTCATTGAGAGATGATCTGCAGAAACACTGACAGTCCTATACCTTTTCCAAGGTAATAAAAAACTGTTAGCTGCAGTGTGTGTCTGTGGCTAATAACATAATACACTCATTGGAGTGTATTCTTTTCTTGCTACATACACGTAACTCAAAGAGACAGTAATGAGAACTATGCATATCTCAGGAGATGAGAATAGACAAAGTGATAGCAATCATCGCGCAAGTCACACTCGGTGGTTTTGTTTTGTTTTTCTTTTCTTTTCTTTTCCCCGGAATATGCATGAAAGTGTCTGATGTACAGTAAGTGATTGCCAACATCTGGTATGGATGACGTACTCAATAATGCTAATAATCTATTAAATTTCATAGGAGGAATGGATGGTTTTGGGGGATGTGACTGTTTTTCACTGTTTGGTGTTGCTTGCATTTTTAATAGTTTGCAATTTGCTTTTGAATACTTATTATTTGATTAATCTCTGGTGATGTTCTAATGTGTTAACCTCTACTACTATTAACAGTAATGTTTTGGGCCAAATCCAGCTTGTTTACTCCCTCTATCTACGTACACCATAGCATCTGAACTTAGTGGCCCTACCCATGTGAGAAAGGCAAACAGGATTTGGCCATAAAAGTGTGGAAAGAATTTAGTCATTCAGAAGAATATTTCATTAATTAATCTGTAAGGGCCTGATCCAAAGTCCATTAATGTGAATTGACTAGTGACTTCAATGAGTTTTGAATCAGGCCTTAAGACTTTCTGCTGCATGCTGCCCAGTTTGGTGCTTGACCTGCAAGAGTTAAATAAATGCCTTTAATGCTCTATAAATAGTATATTCTATTAAGCTGTATTGCAGTGTTCTCATTGGCATTATTTCAAAGGAGGATTAGTTCCACAGAAGATTTAATAGTGGTCTAAATTTGAATACATCTAGCAATTACCTTTAAAAAAACAACAACAGGGAGACCGGGAAATGCAGAGCACCCACAGCAAGGTTCTGAGTGCCCTCAGTTCCCATTGACTCAGCCCTCATAGCACCAGTCCATAGGGTTTTGGCTAGTGGTGACTTAAATAGTGATGCACAAGCCGAGTGACTATGAGAATGACAGTTACTTTTCTGGCCACATCTTGATTTTGTAGGATGAGACAAAAATACAGTAATCCTGCAAGAAATATTCCAAGTTCCCTTATGGTTTTACCCAGAAAAATGCAACAATACACCAGTAATAGTGAAATAAGAGTAATTTATTTTTAATCAATAATTATAATTTTATTACTAAAGCGCTTTCCACTAAATTGCTCATAGTCGTGTAAGTTCTAAAAAAAAACCCATGAATAAATAAAATGGAAAACCCCCTAAAATGGAGCTCTCTGATCCCTGAACAGATTAAACATATAAAACGAACATTCCGTTTAAAACCATAGTAACTAAACTGATAGAATAAGTTTCAGAAATTGACCTTAACATTAACAGCAGTGGGTCCTGAACTTGCAAACCTTTCCTCATGTTGTATATATCGTACCTGTGCAAATAAGTATTCTCAGGGTTGGGTCCTAATATTGTCCTTGCTCATGCAAGGAGTTCCATTCTTCTTTCTCATGTGAGTAAGGGTTTGCAGATTCAAGTCTCTAATTGCCTCATAGTGGGTAGGAGATACATCACACTAAATTTCTGTGTGAGATACCTTGTGATGTGTCAAAAGATATCAAGGCATCTGGCAAGCTAACTAGTGTTATCACTATACTAAAGTAATACAGATGGAAACTCTGAGTTTGAATTCATATTAATAAAGTGGATGTCCTGCAGGACTTTCACATGGATTACTGAGGGGAAAGTGTATAGGATTAGATTTTGTGGGTTAGCTCTAGAGTTAGAGCTCCCCTCTAAAATCTAATTCTTAGTTGTACAGCCCAAGTTTGAGCAACTACAAAAAGGCATATGGCAGTATATGTAAAGAGCGGCCAGTGATGAAAGCTCAAACAAAGCATGTCAGTGAGTTAGATAGAAAACAATTAGAAAAACTGCTCTAATGTATTTACAATTGATTTTCCTCACTGGCTGTTTTGTTACTGTTCAATTTAAAACCATTAACAGGCTGGGCCTGTTTTTCTTTATACCCACTCTGCTCCATGGACTTGTGTGAGAGTGTTGCCTGAAGAAAACCCGCAGATTTGGGCTGTAACCAAACCTTTTGTAGATCCGCAGAAAGGGAGAATACATTCTCTCATTGGGAGACCTATTGAGTCTTGATTTGTTAATCTGGCCCCAAATGAACATTATCAGAAGAGCTTCACTCCCATTTAGGCACCAAAGTAAGTGGCCAGATTTCCAGAAGAGCTCAGAGCACTCAAAAATCTGTCTCTTATGAAGGTGCCTAAATAAAAGGGGAGCACTTTTGAAAACTGGGCTGCGTTGTGGGTGCTGAGCACTTGAAAATCTGGCCCTGAGCTCTTTTGAAAATCTGGCTCTTGGATAGTGTTTGCTCTACACAACTTTTTTGGGGGGGGGGGCCAGTGTGCAGAGGGACAAATGTTGCAGCCCTTTCTGTCCCACCATGGCACAAACTGGCTTGGCACAGGGGATCCAAGAGAGGTTGGTGGGGAAACATGGCATTCCTACAGCCTAGTAGTTCAGTATGTAATGGCTGCATGGCCATTCCACTGCCATTAATACAGTTAATGGCCTATGGTAACAGTTGTACCCCGCACAGGAGTGTAATTTGTTTACGCTTGTGGATCTGTGTAGTGCAAGATCCATTGGCCATGCTAAGATTTCAACCAGCTTTAGAAACAGCAATTTCCTTTTGTTTGTGAAACAAGTTTGAAGAGAGAACAAAAAATGTTTTGCTTTCTTACAAACCCTCGTGTGTTTTCTTTTTTGTTTTGTTTTTTTTTAAACCATTTTTTGATTATTATTTTTTTTTGCCCATACAGCTCTAATCCAACTTTCATGGCTGTTTAGTGCTATGAGGTGGAATTCCTGGGAATCAAGACCTAATATGTATGATGATGTTCAGTGGGCAGGTCAACTCATTATGAATATTTCCCATAAAAAAAACTTCACCTGCTTTCTTTTGCATTTTTTCTTTTAACTTAATTCCCTTTAATGCTACCATATTAGTGTTATTAAGGACCAGAAGCATTAGTTACTGGTAACTAAATATTCATTAAAAATTCATGTTAATTAAAAAACATAGCTGCTACTGGCATGCAGTTGCTCTGGAAGTCCTGCTAGATATTTATGATGAATAAGAGGGCTTTTTAAAAGGAATAAGTCTTTCTTGGTGCTGTTTACATAATGTAGCATTCAAATATCTCCATATTTGATCTCACACCAAGGTTCACATTCACCTCATTTTATGCAAACTAGTTGAAGTTAATGGGACTATTGGCCTGCGTAAGGCAAGCAGGATTTGGCCTTATTACATAAAGTGTTCAGACATAAAGCAGTACACACATGCTTCTTCATGTGATCACAAATGATAAAATTTTCAAAAGTTCCCTAGTGACTTAGACTCTGATATCCAATTTTCAAAAGTCAATGGGACTTAGGCTCCTAAGTCACTTAGGTACTTTTGAAACTTTTAGCATGCTGTTGACAAATCAGTTATCCAAATCTTTAATATGTTTACTCTTACATATAATATGCACTTGAAATATTACATACCATCTATGCAGTTTTATTTTATATATAATCAGTTTTATGTCTCACTCCTTGCCTTTTAGTTCAATCAAATATTTTTCTCGTTTTTAATGGCTTTTTCATTTAAAAATAATAGGAAGAACAAACATAAATAGGAAGAAATTTGTCCAAAATATTAGGCCCAAACTACGTTTTCAGATTAATCACTTCTGCCTTGTTTGTGCCATCAGGTTGCAAATATGTAATATAGACCCTTTGATTAGGCACTGTAGCTTCTGTGCAGAGTTTCAGCTCTCAAAAGGAATTAACTACACCTTTGTTCCTGCGTCTAAGTCTATAAACTCTTGGCTTTTATCTCCCTAGGATTGAAGACCATCGTAGGTGCACTTATCCAGTCTGTTAAGAAACTTGCTGATGTGATGATCCTGACCGTTTTCTGCTTGAGTGTCTTTGCCCTTATAGGCCTCCAGCTCTTTATGGGCAATTTGAGACATAAGTGTGTCAGGAACTACACCGAATTTAACTCTACCAATGGCACATTTTATTCAGGCGTTCAGAAGTGGAATTCCTTGGATGATTTTCTTAATGATCCAGGTAAACTCTTCTCTTTAACCTTTTAAGTTAGTTATCTGTCTCTTTGCATTATGATAATCAAAACCTATGTACAAACCAATTACTGCCAAAAATATGGATGGACCGAACTCCTCTCCCAGAACAATCGGCCAGTGGTTTGGGAAGCTCCAGATGTGCCACCATATTTTTACTGCATTGTTGGAAGCAGTGCTACCAGTTGGCACTTCGTAGGCTATGTGATAATGACTGAAACACTCATTGCAGTTTTCAGAGTAGCAGCCGTGTTAGTCTGTATCAGCAAAGTGCCACAAGTACTCCTGTTCTTTTTACTCATTGCAGTGTTACCATTTGTTGAGACTTTTTTTTTGAGTCCCACAATATTTAATTTCTTAAAACCCCAATTCAGAAGATATTTTAAACTTTTCCCTTTTTTCGTTTTTTTTTTCTTTTCTTTTTTTAAACTAAGTTTTTAGCTCTCATAGTTAGTGGGAAAAGCTTGAAAATGTGACCCCTAAAGACTCAAAAACCAAAAGGCAAATAAAATGAACCCAACCTTTTATTAATGTTAAAAATCTCATGATCTGGTGGGAATTAACTCCCTATATGGAGTTGGCAGTATTGCATTATCTGGTGCTGTGATAACATTACCAGAAGGTGTGCTTTCTAAACAATCTACAGGTTGCTTTTCTTTGAATTACAAGTAAAAATATGTTAACACAACTCCTGTATTAAAATTTTTAAAATTGCCTTTCATTGTACGTAAACTTCATAGTCAGAATGAATGCCTCCGCTATTGACAAAAGGCCTGATCCAAAGCCCATGGAAATCAATAGAAGATTCTCATCAACTTCAGTGAGCATTGGTTCAAGCCCTAAATAATTTAATAGACTCATAGACTCATAGACTTTAAGGTCAGAAGGGACCATTATGGTCATCTAGTCTGACCTCCCGCATGATGCAGGCCACAAAAGCTGACCCACCCACTTTCCCTTAACTCAGCTGTTGAAGTCTCCAGATCGTGATTTAAAGACTTCAAGTCGCAGAGAATCCTCCAGCTTGCGACCCCTGCCCTATGCTGTGTAGGAAGGCGAAAAACCTCCAGGGCCTCTGCCAATCTACCCTGGAGGAAAATTCCTTCCCGACCCCAAATATGGCGATCAGTAGAACCCCGAGCATACAGGCAAGATTCTCCAGCCAGACCCTCATTTTACCAGCGATGGCACGTTATTGCCTAATTGACTAAAATCACGTTATCCCATCAAACCATTCCCTCCATAAACTTATCTAGCCTAATCTTGAAGCCAGAGAGGTCTTTTGCCCCCACTGTTTCCCTCGGAAGGCTGTTCCAAAATTTCACCCCTCTGACGGTTAGAAACCTTCGTCTAATTTCAAGCCTAAACTTCCCCACGGCCAGTTTATATCCATTTGTTCTCGTGTCCACAAATGATTTTGCCGAGGAAAGGTAAATAATAGCAGCATGACAGATGTGACTCATGGCTAATGTATGAAAGGTGAAATCTGTGAGTATTTTGTTACTTTATTTATTTTGAGAGAAAGGACACTCTAGTGGTTATTTTGAGAGGAAGGGCACCCTAGTGGTTAGGAAACTAGCCTGCAATTCAGGAGATTTGAGTTCAATTCTCTGCTCCACCACAGACTTCTTGTGTGACCTGGGGTAAATCATAGAATCATAGACTCAGGGTTGGAAGGGACCTCAGGAGGTCATCTAGTCCAACCCCCTGCTTAAAGCAGGACCAATCCCCAACTAAATCATCCCAGCCAGGGCTTTGTCAAGCCTGACCTTAAAAACCTCTAAGGAAGGAGATTCCACCACCTCCCTAGGTAACCCATTCCAGTGCTTCACCACCCTCCTAATGAGAAAGTTTTTCCTAATATCCAACCTAAACCTCCCCCACTGCAACTTGAGACCATTACTCCTTGTTCTGTCATCTGGTACCACTGAGAACAATCTAGATCCATCCTCTTTGGAACCTCCTTTCAGGTAGTTGAAAGCAGCTATCAAATCCCCCCTCATTCTTCTCTTCTGGAGACTAAACAATCCCAGTTCCCTCAGCCTCTCCTCGTAAGTCATGTGCTCCAGCCCCCTAATCATTTTTGTTGCCCTCCGATGGACTCTTTCCAATTTTTCCACATCCTTCTTGTAGTGTGGGGCCCAAAAATGGACACAGTACTCCAGAATGAGGCCTCACCAATGTCAAATAGAGGGGAACGATCATGGCCCTCGATCTGCTGGCAAAGCCCCTACTTATACTGCCCAAAATGCTGTTAGCCTTCTTGGCAACAAAGGCACACTGTCGACTCATATCCATCTTCTCATCCACTGTAACCCCTAGGTCCTTTTCTGCAGAACTGCTTCCTAGCCATTCGGTCCCTAGTCTGTAGCAGTGCATGGGATTCTTCCGTCCTAAGTGCAGGAGTCTGCACTTGTCCTTGTTGAACCTCATCAGATTTCTTTTGGCCCAAACCTCTAATTTGTCTAGGTCCCTCTGTATCCTGTCCCTAATCTCCAGCGTATCTACCACTCCTCCAAGTTTAGTGTCATCTGCAAACTTGCTGAGGGTGCAGTCCACGCCATCCTCCAGCTCATTAATGAAGATATTGAACAAAACCGGCCCCAGGACCAACCCTTGGGGCACTCCACTTGATTCCGGCTGCCAACTAGACATGGAGCCATTGATCACTACCTGACGATGTAGCCAGCTTTCTATCCACCTTATAGTCCATTCATCCAGCCCATACTTCTTTAACTTGCTGGCAAGAATACTGTGGGAGACCGTATCAAAAGCTTTGCTAAAGTCAAGGAATAACACATCCACTGCTTTCCCCTCATTGACAGAGCCAGTTTCATCATAGAAGGCAGTTAGGTTAGTCAGACATGACTTGCCCTTGGTGAATCCACGCTGACTGTTCCTGATCACTTTCCTGTCCTCTAAGTGCTTCAGAATTGATTCCTTGAGGATCTGCTCTATGTTCTTTCCACGGACTGAGGTGAGGCTGACTGGCCTGTAGTTCCCTGGATCCTCCTCCTTCCCTTTTTTAAAGATGGGCACTACATTAGCCTTTTTCCAGTCATCCGGGACCTCCCCTGATCGCCATGAGTTTTCAAAGATAATGGCCAATGGCTCTGCAATCACATCCGCCAACTCCTTTAGCACCGCATCCGGTGCAGCGCATCCGGCCCCATGGACTTGTGCTCGTCCAGCTTTTCTAAATAGTCCTGAACCACTTCTTTCTCCACAGAGCGCTGGTCACCTCCTCCCCATCCTGTGCTGCCCAGTGCAGTAGTCTGGGAGCTGACCTTGTTCATGAAGACAGAGGCAAAAAAAGCATTGAGTGCATTAGCTTTTTCCACATCCTCTATCACTAGGGTGCCTCCCTCATTCAGTAAGGGGCCCACACTTTCCTTGACTTTCTTCTTGTTGCTAACATACCTGAAGAAACCCTTCTGGTTACTCTTAACATCTCTTGCTAGCTGCAACACCAAGTGTGATTTGGCCTTCCTGATTTCACTCCTGCATGCCTGAGCAATATTTTTATACTCCTCCCTGGTCATTTATCCAATCTTCCACTTCTTGTAAGCTTCTTTTTAGTGTTTAAGATCAGCAAGGATTTCACTGTTAAGCCAAGCTGGTCGCCTGCCATATTTACTATTCTTTCTACACACCAGGATGGTTTGTTCCTGCAACCTCAATAAGGATTCTTTAAAATACAGCCAGCTCTCCTGGACTCCTTTCCCCCTCCTATTATTCTCCAGGGGATCCTGCCCATCAGTTCCCTGCAGGAGTCAAAGCCTGCTTTTCTGAAGTCCAGGGTCCGTATTCTCCTGCTCTCCTTTCTTCCTTGTGTCATGATCCTGAACTCGACCATCTCATGGTCACTGCCTCCCAGGTTCCCATCCACTTTTGCTTCCCCTACTAATTCTTCCCTGTTTGTGAGCAGCAGGTCAAGAAGAGCTCTGCCCCTAGTTGGTTCCTCTAGCACTTGCACCAGGAAATTTGTCCCCTACACTTTCCAAAAACTTCTTGGATTGTCTGTGCACTGCTGTATTGCTCTCCCAGCAGATATCAGGGTGATTGAAGTCTCCTATGAGAACCAGGGCCTGTGATCTAGTAACTTCTGTTAGTTGCTGGAAGAACTCTTAGGGCTAGAATTTTCAAGGAGTTTGGATGTCTAAAAATGCAGAAAGATGCATCTTTCAGCACCTAAATACCTTTAAAAATATGGCCATTACTGTCTCTGTGTCTCAGTTCTTAGAGCCCTGTGCAGATACAAATTTATATACAGGCATGCAAATCAGTATTCGCAGAGCTGCAGGGCTCTACCAGGAACCACAGCAGCGAAAGGAGCAGCACATCAGTCCGCTGCTCCCAGGAGCTAGCAGCTCCTCTGGCATGGCTGTACTGTACCCACTAGGGCGGGCATCAGGCTCACCGGCAGCTGTCCCAGGTCGTGCTCATGTGTTCAAGAGGCTTGCATGCCCCCAGACAGAAGACGCAGACTGCTGCGTGGAAGGGACTCCTGTCTGGGAGCATGCACGCTGCTTGAACACACTAGCATCACCAGGGACGGCTGCCGGTGAGCCTGGTGCCCACCCCAGTGGGCAAGGCTGGGGATGGTACAACCATGCTGGAGGAGCTGCCAGCATGGGGTGCTGGGTCCTGGGAGTGGCGGCCCGACGTGCTGTTGCTTTTGCCACTGCGGTTCCCGGTGGAGCCCTGCAGCTCTGCAGATACCGATTTATATCCACAAATATCTGCATCTGCAGATATAAATTTGTATCCGCGCAGGGCTCCATCAGTTCTCCATCTGTAAAAAAGGGATAATACTTCCCTATCTCTCAGAGATATTATGAGGATAAATACATTAAAGCCAGTGAGGTGCTCAGGTTCTACATTAATGGATAGCAGGATAAAGCCCTTGGATAAACAGATAGGATGGAGAAGGGATGAGAATCTGGCTCACTGTGTATAAAAGCCAGGAATGACATACATTGAAATTGT